TATAGTTTTTTCTTCTTTAAGTTAGGATCAAAGAATCAGCTTTCATCTTCATGCACATGACCATGACTCAAACTTGAGCCATCCTCAATCTAAGCTCAATTTACCAACAAAGCTGATTTAATTGTCAATAATTTTTTAATGTCTTTTAGTTGTGTTATTTTATTTTATAAACTTATTATTCTCTTGATGCAGGCGACTGGAAGCAGCAAGTCTACACCGAAGTATGTTATTTAAACAATCTATTTTAATCCTTTGGATAACTAGAAATCTACCTACTCATCATGTAAATCTGAATTATTGCAGGCAGAGCTTTAGACCGAAAGAGAAGGCGTATAGGAGGAGAACCTCCGTTAAGCAAAGAGACATGAGATGACAACACAGCTCACAAAACAAGTATTAACACATCCTCTTTACTTTTTATTAACTGTATTTATTCTGCATGTTTGCTGTAAATGTGTAAATAGGATTTTTTTTTTTAAAGTCCTTCGGGAAAGTGGAAGAGTTTGTATCTAAATATTCTTTTAAACCATAGCAAAACGATCAGAAGAAATAACTAAATATTAGAATTTGTGTGGGCAAACAGAAGCTCACCAAAACCACATAAGAAGATAGTAAGTCGGCAAAGCTGTCATCAGAAGAAAATCATGTAGAAGATTGCAGCAAAAGAAGCCAATGTTAAACAAGTGAATTGAGTGGTCATTGATTCTTACAAAACTTGAGTCTGTTTGTTTTGAATGTAACATTAAGTTGAGATGGGTAGGCGATCTGTAACCCACTTTTTCACTTGGTGATGGGTACATATTTAATTTTATTTATGAATAAAGAATTGATCATTAAATATACAGAGAAAATAAATCAAATAATTTCTCCTTTAAATAGGTGATACTTTTACTAACATTATCAAAAGAGATTCATAATAATTAATCATCAACTTATAACCAAAGAGATTCATAATAATTATAAAAGTGCTCTACAGAAATTGCAAAAAGTGACTGATCATATTTCTTATTATTTAATA